TACCTGTTAAATTAACAGAAACATACTTTGAACACCTCTCGACATTCCGTGCGACCATACGAATAAATTTTAATACAGTACTCTGACAAGTTCACGAAGCCAACTGAGAGAATATTTATAACAAAAGATGAATTACTTGTAAACGATTAATCTTTCACTCGAGTCTTCATTTTTCTCCCCCTCTCATTTATCACTCGTCATCCATCATGTATCCAAATTGTCATGTTTCCGTCGTTATTTATTTTTCAATCTCGCGGAAAAATTTCGATACCATTTAAGAATATTTGCCACGAAAATTCTCAGTTAATCAATTCGCTTCGAATTTTAATTATCGCGGACATCGTTACACGATTGGAAACATTTCCAATTATTTTTCCAGTTCGAATTCCATTTTCCAATAGGGGGAAAAAGAAATACCATGACTAAGTGGAGAGATAAAGAAACGAGGAAATTAGATAATGGCTGGTGAAGCTGGAGTATCTTTAAACCCTGCTCCATCGATTCCACGTCCATCAATTATCCCAACCAATGATTAGTTATTTAAAGTCATCAAAAGCACGTCGACTCGATAAAATACAACTCGAGCTTCGCAAATCGTTTACCAATAATGCGAAATGTCCCAAAATTGTTAATTCCAACGGTCTTAAGCGAATATAAAAAGAATTCTTTTGAATAATAAAACGTCCCAGATTTTGGATCCACAATGATTTAGAAATGAAGATAGATTTGAATCGAAGATGAAAATATTCCTACATTTTAAAAATTAAAATAATTTCGAGTAGGACATATTTTTATATTATCACAGAAGAATAATATATTTTAAGTAATAAATTTATTACATGAAATTTTCGACATTTTAAACCGTAATTAAATGATTAAACCATCTCATTCCTCTGTATGAAAGGAGTAACAATAGTTAATGAGACGAATACGCGATATATTTGATTGACTATTTCAAGCTAAATTTTCCACGTAATTCGTTCACATTATGTATGATAACGCGTTAAATGCATGAAAATTTCATAATTTGGGCAGGCAATTTCCGGTATTTATACTGCATTCTATTTATAATTCGGAAATTACGCATAAATATAAATGCATTAGCGAAATAGGAAATAAAGTTGAGATACTGTTGAGGATGATTTTAAAATGTGCTTTACCCCAAATGTATTTTTGGTGTGTGAAAAGTATAATAATTCGCGTGTAATTGATGCATGGAATTTTCAATGACCCACTCTCCGCACTCAATGTATCAATTATTATACCTAATGAGCATTACCTATGCAATCAAATCACAGGAGCATTATCCACTCCGTTCGATAACCAATTTTTTCAGATTAAACTAATCTATACTCAGACAGGAATTAAATGGTAATTATTTCCTAAAAGAGACAATTTTTCTGACTTGTATATTTCCCAACAAGGTTAAAATAAAATTATCAATTGTCAATAAAATAATTACGATAGAATATTTTTCTGTCTTTAAAAAGATATTCTTTCTCTATTATCTACCTATTATCTATTATCTACCCATCTATTGGTAAATAACAATTAAACCAAGTGTAAATTAAAAAATGAATTATTTGAATTATTTGAGCACTAAATGCCATACTAAATAAAACAATATTTTCCTTCTTTTAAAAGATATTTTTTCCATTGCAACGAATATTAAATTCAGGAGAAATTAAAACACAAATCCCTACAAATTAATTAAAACGATATCTGCCTTCTTCAAATTTTAAATATTCCTGAATTAAAATTAAATTAAATTTTGGAACTGAAATTGAAGTCGAAATGAAAACGATACGAGTCCAAAGGTAATATAAAAATTACCCCAAAAATTTGCCACGATCCTAATACAGGATATTCCATACACACACACACACACACACATACACATACCCCTTCCCGGACATGGCGTGCAGAAAATCGTTCATCCCCGGAAACGAAGCATTAAGATCGCCATTTGTAATTAAAGCCGGCATCGAGGAAGCCCTTGGAACAAAGGACGCCCTAGTGCAACCTTTGTCAATAATGCAGATGCAAGGAAACCTACTGCAAGGTCAACAGTCGCATCTCCTCGTCTGCTGCCAAGTTTTCTTCCCTAAAATCTTCTACCAACCACGATAGCATCGATAACCGGTAGAGGGAAAACGCCAGGACTTCTGAGAAGTCGTTCTATCGCGGTAGGGACAAAATTGCCAGGATCGAATCGCGTGGAATAGAATTGAATAGCGTCTTTTACGAGCAGAGCTGGTCCTCTGATGAATGAACTAGAGGTACCCGTTTTGCTTAAGGGGCTGTACACGGTATTGTGCAAAAGTCTTGGTCTGCACTAGCGGTCTCGCAATGGCCACTAAATGTATTAGGTCGATAGGTAAGTTGCTCGATTTTGCCTGTACATTAGCAGCCTTGTTTGGAGATTTCCATAAATTACAGGTAGTTTAAGTATACGGGATATCCCAGTCAACTAGGCTAAGCAACAGCTTTAATAGTGGAAATACCAAATCAGACAAAATGACTGGTTTCTTCTGGCTTGCTATTTTTACAGTTACTGACAACGTGCAGCTAATTGTTGTCCATTTTATGTTAGTTTTTAATGATATAGAAATGTGTATGACTATAAACAGCTAAAGAATTACATAATTATTCTCTATGTACACGTTATGAGATAGTGGTACTAGTATCAAAACAGAGAAGGTAGCAAAGATACATATCATTAATTTGAATAAAGTGGGTTGCATAGAAAACTATAAATTAGTCTCTAGATCTACTTTGATTTAATGTATTTAATTTGCTATGACAGAACTGTAGAAGAATAAAATAAAATCCATACCAATACAAATACAACTACCAAATCAGACAAAATGACTGGTGTTGTCAATTTTATGTTAGTTTTTAATGATATAGAAATGTGTATGACTATATATAGCTAAAGAATTACATAATTATTATCTGGGTACACGTTATGGGATAGCGGTGCTAGTATCAAAACAGAGAAGGTAGCAAAGATACATATCATTAATTTGAATGAAGTGGGTTGCATAGAAAACTATAAATTAGTCTCTAGATCTACTTTGATTTAATGTATTTAATTTGCTATGTCAGACTGTAGAAGAATAAAATAAAATCCATACCAATACAAATGTCTGTTTATTACATAGAATGAAAGATACACCTAGTTTCAATCAGATGACAGGTAAACTATACACAGGAGCCTAGATCTGCCTCTCTGCTCTATAGAAAAGAACACGTAGCTACGGGCCTACTTCTACCAGCTAGCACCGCTTCAATTAGGTAACAAATGAACTATATTCGGAACCACGGAAAGTCACGTCCAAAAATACATAAAAGCCTATTGCAATAAAAGGTCTATCTCTGAAGTCATATCTACTTTCATCGGTAGATATCTCAGAGATAGGTGCATCCCCTGACCACCTAGGTGTACGTAGCTCATACGCCTTAATGCGTCGGTTTGACCAAGACACGCAAACCGTACGGACAGAACCGGCCTTAAATTTGGCAACCAACAGCGTGTCGTGATTTATGTTAATCTTTGTTCGCGGTCAGAGCAGTTTCGATAGAGCTACACTGTGGCCAATCCGCGCAAGGATTAATTGGACGTCGGCCTAGAATCGGAGAGTCTGGCGCGTCTCTGAACGTGTTGGAATCTTCGTCGTAAAATATCGAGAATCGCATCGAAATACTATCGATTCACTTGGGAATTAGAACCTTGTACCTGGGAAGGAAATCCAGGACTCCCTAGAACAAATATCGAACAGTATAGATGGTGTAATGAGCAAAATGAAGATTTTTATAAGTTTCCATGAGTAGAGGAACTTAAGAAAATCTACGGTCTTTGACTGACAATGAGAGATATTTAAGGTGCCTTTGTTGAAATAATTTCGAAGTCTCGAAGAAGGCTAATTAAACATTTATTGGTGCAGTGGTATTATATTAATATGCTACTAATATAATACAGATATTATAATAACATACTACTAATTAGAAATTATGATTTCTTCGGAAAAATTAGAGTACTCTTATCGAAAATATGTTTAATTTATTTTTGCGAAATGAATAGGACAAGTCCACCAAGTATCATAGCATTTCGAAACCAGCGTTGGTTTATTGGAAAATATGAAAAATCTTAGGTCTTGAATGGCCTTTGTTCAAATAATTTTGAAATCTCGAAGAAGGCTAACTAAACAATGATTTATTCGATAGAATTCGAGTACTCTTATCGAAGTAATACAGATATGTTTAATTTATTTTTGCGAAATGAAGAGGACAAGTCCACGAACATGGATTTCGAAACCAACCTTTCGATAACTATTAGAAAATATGAAAAATAGTATAAAAATCGCGTTTACAGGAACCGTAGAATGCCCAAGGAATCTAATCGTCCATTTTAAAAAGCTAACAGCTGACCTAAAAACAGAACCTGGCTGCCAGCGACGCAAGCCCATCCCAAATTCGCTCCTGCCGTCTGAAACGTCGCCACGAAAACCGCAGAGCCGCCTAGCGCGCGTAAATCAAGAACCCTATCCAGAGTGGTCGTTGCCCAAGAACTACACGTATCATCGAAAAACAATTCTTGCACAATTTCCAAAGGCTCGCGTCCATCGATCGGCGGTCGAGCTAACCCAGAAACCAACGATCTCGTGTTTCGCAACTAGCGAACTGTCCAACACTGAACGACACGACAGGTAAAAAGGCGAAAAAATAGAGCGAAAGAAAAAGAGAAAAAAGCAACGTAGCACAGCAAACAGGTCCCGTTCCACGAGATCCTTCGTCCAACCGATCCACTTTCGAATATCGCAAAGACGAGAGTCCAGCCGGGACCATTGGTCGGAGAGGAAGGTTCGGGGCCCGATCATAAAGCTGGTCTTAGATCGTTAAAAGCCGCATCACGGCTTAGAACCGGACAGCGGTGCAGATAAGCAGAAGAGAATGGGAATAAATAAGAGAAAAGGTAGATCTGCTAGGTCCACACGTACCGTTGCTGTTTCTGCAAACACAGGGCTGCCTGGTCGATTTGTTCTCCAGTTTCACCGGCTGACCTTGACTCGGTAGGAAGGCCTCCCGTTTCTTGCCGGTGGCCTGGACGACCTGGTTGCCGGCCTGGCCTCCCTGCACCACCATCGTGCTCGTGGTGGAGCTCGTAGGGCACGAGCTGCCGTTCACGGTGACCGAGCATCCGGTAGTCGAACCTGTCGGCGACTGATACTCCTGGAGCAACACTCCTGTCGTCGGTACCACGCTGCCTGTCGAATTCGGCGACGAGAAGCTGTTGATCGTCAGCGTGGGCGCGTTCCCGGTCACCAGGGATAGTTGCGGGGAAAAGGTGTTCTGGTGCAGGCCTCCTGTACATAGCAAACATAATCACGTTACCATCAATGTATATTTTGAGCATTGACGATTATATTCAGATAGAATCGTGTTTGGTTCGTTGCAAAATGATCTAAGTGTGCTACTGGATTTGGATTCGAGTAATCAGTGAGTGTGCAGGTTAGTTAGGATGTTTCGAGAGCAGTTTTTAGCCTAAGTGTTATCGTCGTGGGTAGATCAACGTGTCTCACTGCCGTTTGTGTTGTTGGAATCAATTATTTTAAACATTGGATTTGGACTGAAGCAATCTTACAGTGGATGGGCAAAATTTGGTGGCGTGGGATATGTCAACACATGTCACTGACAATCATATAGATAGGGTATGATTAGGAAGGAATCCTGATTTATTTTAGCTACTGTTATTTGGATGCGTTATTGAATTTGGATTGAACCAATTTTGCAGTGGACGTACGAGATGTCTGAAGAGCAGTTTTGAGGTTAAGTTTCGGTTAAAACAAAGGCGTATTAGTGGTCTCCAATGTTTTCTGTGCTCAGTGTTAAGTTAGGAAGTGCTTAACAAGTGTGTAGGAAGTGTCCGATTTGGGAGTCAGTTTTAAATGCAAGTTTTGGTGAAGTGGAATAAATCACTGACAATTATATAGATGGAGTATGATTAGGATGGAATCCTGGTTTATTTTAGAGCGATTTGAATGAGTTATTGAACTTAGATTGAACTGATTTTGCAATATACATGCGAGATATCTGAAGAGCAGTTCTGAGAGTAAATTTTAGCTAAAACAAGGTTGTATCGGTGGTCTCCAGTGTTCACTGTGCTCAGTGTTAAGTTAGGAAATGTTTAACAAGTGTGTAGGAAGTGTCCGATTTGGGAGTCAGTTTTAAATGCAAGTTTTGGTAGCGTGGGATAAATCAACACGTGTTACTGACAATTATATAGATGGAGTATGATTAGGATGGAATCCTGGTTTATTTTAGGTACTGTAATTTGGATGCGTTATTGAATTTGGATTGAACCAATTTTGCAATGGACGTGTGAGATGTCTGAACAGCAGTTTTGAGGTTAAGTTTTAGCTGAAATAAGGTTGTATCGATGGTCTCCAGTGTCTTCTGTGCTCGGTGTTAAGTTAGGAAGTGTTTAACAAGTGTGTAGGAAGTGTCCGGATCATTCTAGATATGAGATTACTTGAACTAACGTATTTAGCGTTTGTGAGGTAAGGAAGCCTTATTTCGACCAAAAGATTTGTGGCTTTTGGCTAACAATAATAGATTAAATCATAGGTTTATGCCTCGTGTATGCAGTAAATTTCAGTTCTCGAAATAAAATGCAATAAGCGAAACAGTAATGACACATACGATATGTTAATCGTTACGGCAGAATGACGCAAAACTAAAAACCAATGATTCATTCTATTATTATAACCAAGCAGTGCCTCTCGAATATTTCAAGGTACACCCTGTTCTGTTTGAGATTAATAAATGAGCCAGTAACTGAAAATACATCGACCTGTTCAAATTACACGTATCTCTCTCAATTATTGCTGTTTACCTATCATTTCTTCATTTGAAAATTCATGTTCTCATTCTCACGATAAATATCATTAATAATCGCTAGGGTGATTAAATATTATTTCTGCTAAAAGCGCAATTACGTGGCAGGAAATGAAATCTGAATGAATAAACGAATCTTAAATTATCCTCGTAATAATTAACGTTTGGAGCATTCGTAATACGAAAAGAAAGCAAACCATGGAAGGGATGCGAGATGATCGATTCGAATAACATTAATTAAACTACTGACCACGTAATATCTGGCTAATTATTAATACAATAATGCGGTGAACGCGAATCCATAACCACAACTGCGGTGAGCTCCAAATTTCTAATCAACAGACCAATTTTGTACGTTAATGTTTCCATGACAAATGTTCCTACATGGCGTAATAAAATCGTGTAACTACCTTTCGATTCATACACGTTATTTGCATACTTGAGGACCGCACATAAACATTCGTATTCAAGCAAGTTTGTGTATTTTAGCTGTAATCTGTAATGATCGTGCCGTTATCATTGATTAAATATCGGTATAATTAGAAAATAATTCAACGAGGTATACAATACCTACGTTACATTTATTGGAGATATGGGTCGTGGTGGCGCTAGTGAGTTAGGTGCAAGATCGTCATAAGCAACAAAGGATGAAACAACGTCATACTGAATCTTTCTATTTTTTAATTAGTCGTACTTTTTGCTAATATTATACATTACATAAGCAATATTTTCATGATTCACCGATATTACATATCTATAATAAATGTTATATACATCGTTGAATTATTTTTCTAATTTTACCCACATAATTTAGCAGTCCTTTCTTGCTATATGCATCATTATCGTTCCCAAGATTTCAATTTATCAGTAATTAATATATTAACGCAGACGTTCGAATATTTTCAAGTATTTAATACACATTTCACGCCGGATCAGAGACTTCGAAAGGCAACTCGAGACGATCTATTGTATAATACGGAACAATTTCAATTACACTCACGAGCACATACCAATTTGAACACGATTCTATTCCTCTTTTCCTGCGACCATCTTATTTTCCGACACTGTAAGCTGCTTAACCAGCGAATCCACGTCGAAGTTCGAGAGCGACTCGTCGGCATGGATACAGTCTTAAAAGTACCCGTGGAGAACGTTGAATAACCCTATGTCAACTTGAGCGTTGATCGAAGATTATTCCAGCATTCGCGTCGAATTAGTCGGCAATCGAGCGCCGATTAAACTCTTTTCGAACTTGTTGAATGCGTAACTTCTCGTCCGGTCGTTTATTACGCTGACACGATCGATAAAGTTAAACGAGAAAAGTTTCGCGACTTCTACGATATCTCGGGATCATATTTAGGCGAAACGAGTTTCTCCGTTTGCCAGTGATGGCTTTGATCTTCCGTTTATGAATCTACAGTCCCTTTATTGTCTCTGTTCGCGACGATCGTGGTCCTTTTCACGTCGAATTCGATGGATTCGAGTGAATCTTGAGGGAAACGAAGTGAAAATTGATTACGCGTGTATTATAGGCAGCAGAATGTCAAGTGAGGACAGAGGGAATGTTAAGAACTTTTAATTAAAATTTAGAAATGGGTATTTAAAGTCTGTGATTTGAGTGATGCGTGTTTCGAGCATGTGTTGATTGTAGAAAGAAGGTTGAGAACCGCTAACTTAGGATGTCAACCCTGATGCATTTATTATACTGTGTGTTTGTATTTGTTTGAATAACACGAAGAGCAGAAATATAAAATTTTAAAAATATTGTGAATTGTAGAATATTACAAAAATTTAAATATATGAAGAGTTTATGGAATTAAAATAATAATGGAATATTATCGACTCTTTAAATAATAAATGAAATATAGAATTCATAATAATCTTCATTCCATATCATATACACTAGAGAGCAGTAGGGTTAACAAGAAATTCTATATGACAAAATTACCTCGTGTTATTATAGAATTTTATTTACCAATTATTGTTGTATAAATAATAAAAAAATTATTAAAAAATATTTTTCCTCATTTTAATTTTTCGATGCATTTATTTATATCGTATCAAGTGTTTCTCTGTAGTTACTGGGGATGATTATTATAGAGAAGAGTAACTTGCAAAGGATGTATGATGTTTTATAAAAATGTAGAATATAGTTTACAGATGTTTGAATTACCTACGTAGGTTTTATCCAATTTATGTTTATGACATTCGAAGTACTTGGAACACTTGAGGATGATGTGTTGGATTGTTACTAGGCAGTTACTTAGATATCAAGTGGGTTTGAGCTAGTTTGAGTTGGGTTTGTGTGTATGTTCTCGAGTCTGTTTAGCACTTGTTCTTTTCGAATATTGTTTCAATCTTGACCTTCTGAATAGATCTGAAGTGGCATCAACCACTTACATAGGGTATTAGCAAGGGATTTATACGAAATATAGCTTGTCTTGCAATCTTATATGCTTGGAATAATTTAATAATTATTATACAGGTTTCCTATAAATTCTGTTTAATACGATTACAGAAATTTCTTTACCATTACTTCCTTTTCTTAGGGTAACAGTACACCAAAATTAGGTTTTCAAAATTACTGAAATTCCTCTACCATTACTTCTTTTTCTTGGGATAACAATACACCAAAATTAGGTTTCCAAAATTACTGAAATTCCTCTAGCATTACTTCCTTTTCTTAAGGAAGCAATACACCAAAATTAGGTTTCCAAAATTACTAATTTCCTCTACTATTACTTCCTCTTCTTAGGGAAGCAATACAGCAAAATTAGGTTTTCAATTTAATTAGTAATACAGTTGAAGTTTCCAGATTGAAATGAAATGAATAATGCATTTATCTTAACCACTGCGGTGTTTAAAAATCGAACACACGTTGATGAAAATTACTTTTATTTATTAGCATTTTTTAAAGGATATTTATCAATAAGGTATTAACGCGAATTCCTCCTCATGCCCATCGAATTTTATCGATTTCCTGCTCGCCACGCTTTTTGAACGCTGTATTAAGAGATTAATGACCCTAAAATTTGGAGAGAAAATGTATTCCGGAAAGAGAATTACTAACCGGCATGTTCATCCTTTCATATTTTTTCATACATTTTTAACAGTAACGATGATAAACGATGATAAAGTGGTCGAGATAAATAAAGTACCCAGTATATTACCTACCCCTAACAACCTTCAATTTTAAAAACGTGGAATTAAGATTAAAATCAAATTGCATCACGAGTTCATTTATGTTTGTCACAGCTGGACTAAGAGTAACTTGCATAACGAGTGTGATCTCGATATATTTTAAAGGTTAACGAGTTGAAAACACTTAAGATTTTAATTAGATATGTAAAATAATACAAGACTTTATGCAGCGTAATTCACATATTGAACAAAGTAGCTGTGCACGCAATCTAATAATTTCCCGGGAGCGATCGGTATTTTTAATAAATTATTGTAATTATTATTATCAATAGAAAGACTTCTAAAAGCGTAAGTAGACCAGATATTAATTCACCTTGATCCAACGTTACAATTAAAATCAAAATAAATGAAGCACAAAATTTTTCTTTGCTCCACAAAAAAGAAATAAAAGATTCAATTTAATAAATAAATTAATTTACACCTAACTTAACATAAATAAGAAATATCTCTTTAATAATCTCAACATGAATTCAGGATCAATCGACTTCTCATTTCAAACCCAGTACTCTTGCTACATCACTCGAACAAAAAAGGAAGAAACCTATACTAGTACAACACATACACACCTGTCACTATTTTTACACGACAGATGCACGGTAAAAAGAAACTGAGAAAAATATCGCGAAACGACTCATTTCCAACCAAATGTAAAACCCGTGTTAAATCGCGCAATAGAGAAAGCAATTCAAAAAACAGAAAACTTCGTAAAAACCATTTTTAAACGTTTATCGATTTCCTAGATTCGAAGGTTAATATACAAATATGAGAAAAATTATATAACTTATATAATTATATAACTATTATATGTGCCGTTCACTGCACAAATTGATTAACTCCATAAAACAAAAAGTAGTATGAAATAATGTATATTGTTTTTTAAAATTCCCTTTATAATTTAAATCGAAATAAATATCGTAGAATGCATAAATACAAATGTAACTTTCATCTAACGGTATACAAAATTTATAAGAAAAAATAGCCAAAAGGTAATCGTTAGTAATGTTACCATTTTTATGTCACTGGAAGAGTTAATCGATTTGACGAGTGAAAAAGAAATAAATTTAAATTTTACTAAATTTTACTTAAATTCTGATAAGACGGCACTAAAAAATTCACCGTTGTCATTCACGGCTTGCTGATGCATTTGAGTAGCATTATTGCAACGATTTGCATTAGAGTACGGAGTTAATCAAAGTGACCTCTGAAATAAATTATTTATTATTCAGTGGCCAATAAATTTTTGTCGTTTAACGGTGTTAATCTTAATTATCAGGGAAAGTTATTATAAATATAAAAAGTTATGTCTATACCAAGTGCTTTGACACTTAAATTTAAAATTTTTCGAAAACTGGAGTTAATCCATTTGTGCAGTGAACAGCTCACGTACCAATGAAACGTATTTTAAAAATCGCATCATACGAACTGAGAATCGTGGAAAATTAAAAATCGTGGTGTACTACTATGACAAATATAAAGGTACGTATGTATGCACCGATATAACGCGAACCTAATTCATCAATCGAACCTCTGCTCGGGCCGAAATTCCAGAAGGAAAGAAACACCGGTTCCCTACGTTTTAATCAGACAAAACACTCACCATGATGAAGATGATGAAGACCAGTCAGGTTGAGGGTGTGTTGAGTGTGCTGGGTGTGCTGTGTGTGTTGCGCGTGGTGCAGGCTGCCCACGTTCACACCGACACCTTGGAGGCTGAGCGCCTGTTGACCAGGAGGAGCCAAACTAGCCAAATTCTTGGCCAGCAGTTCGAGCTGCGTCACGGGAACGGGACTGTAGGGTGAGCCAGGGGGTGGCGTGGGAGCACCCCAGGTGTAGCCACCCACCCCGACCCCGACGGCCGCGGAAAACACGCTCTCTGAAACTACAGAATCCGACGATTAATCGATCTGCTCCTCCTCCTATGGCAACCTAATCGGAACGGGCGGCTTTCACAGTCACAATGGCCACTTTGATCCGAGTCAATTATTCGCCCGATACGATTGTACGTGGAATATGCACGAATTGCCGGGTGCTTCTCTTTTTGCCAGTGATAGAGCATTTCTGTCTATTTTCGTGCCTCGTGTATCCAAGTGACTATCGTGGGGACAGTGATTGTCGAAAAAGAAACACAGATTTGGAAAATATTTTTTTTTTATAGAAATCTTCTTTTTGCAGTAATTTTCACGGGATAATTACTCGTCTCGATAACACAGACAAACTGATTTTCAAATGTAATGTACATCTAAATCCTACAAAATGTACCAAATGCTCACGTGACAAATTGTACATCTGCATACTCACTAACAAAAGAAGCAAAAAGAAATCTTTTATAGAAATATCGAGATTCTTTGGGATACTTCGCAGGAGAGTTTTACATTTTTTAAGGGGGAATTGGAAATTTTTCTTTTTTAAATAAAATAATCTAGGGGGGTTGAAAAATTGGACAAAGGTATCGCAATATCCTGGGAATGTGAACATTAATTTTTTAAACACTGAATTTAAGGAGTTAATATACTACCCCTGGCAAAGTATTGTAGATCAAACTCGATAATACTTATTCTTTCATTATTCTTTCGTGAATAACAAAAAATAAATGATTGAATTAATTTTTCTTTTTATTATTTAAAGGAATTAAGCAACCAATTTAGCAAGTATAATGGTAATCATATTAAAGAAAATATTAGTTTTTGAAATGATGAGTGCTCATAATCTTTGCTCATACTCCTAAAACTGGAGAGCCAAGCAAACGTTCTTTCAAATTTAATACTCCACCTCATGTCTGTATTATATTTAAAAAAATTATAGTTATTTTAGACAATTTGGTATTATTCTGCTCGACCTAAAATCTTTTGCCAGAGGTAAAGAATTTTTCTTGATCGCTGCATCGCTTACTTTACATTTATAACGATAAATTAATAATTCCAATTAATATCGCCCTACAAAAATCATAAAGATATTTCATCTGTTCGAATTAACAAATTTCTATTTTATTCTACGTCTAAATTCTCAGTTATCTGATGTAACTACCGTATCCTAAGTCTTCTTACAGGATTCAAAGGTTGCGCACGAGATATTACCTCGCATTCCTGTATCTTTGCCCTGTCTGAATATGCAAACGCGAAAGTATACAATTGCGAAATTTAATGACGCTATAAAACATATATTAAAGCACCATTCCGCGGATAGATAAATGTCAATTGGATCTAGACAGAGGTAGCACGGCAAAAAATATAACTCCGTCTAACCATAAAATCTTGAATGACACGTGTAACGCTGGATTAAAGCAAAGCTACGAGGCATTTCACGCGGGATACGTGTTTGTGAATATTTCCATCACAAGTCTAAAGCATCGGGGCAAAATATGGATCTTAATTTTACAAATAATCGCAACAATGAAAAATCAATGCAAGATATTTCGAATGAGGTACTAAGACATCTGCATCGTGGATACGAATTTCGGTTGAAAATAAATTAATAATAATATCGCTATACCTATTCGAATTTTCAAAATGATATTACATGTGGAAGCAAATAGTGTTGTATTTAATCCTTTCGCTACTACGGGTGATTATAGTCACCGATCACGAGAAGCCATCTACACAATACTACAAAGAATTGCAAGCTCTATTGCGATGGTCAGTTTTTTTCTTCTTTCTTTTCTTCGAAAGATTTGCGTCAAAAGACCGAATGCTAAAGATTGCACTATAGTAATGTTACCATCTTTGACACGTTGCTTCATTCTACGACAGAGACTTCGAAGTTCGAGAAGTTCGAGAAATTGAGGATACTTTGGTAAAATTAGAAAAAGATCTTGAAATCTATACAAATCTTTCTTAACTCTTTGGGGCACGCTGAGATTAACCCCTTCCCGTATTTGGACGAGTGTGACTCGTGATGATGATTTTAGGTCAAACATGAATATCACGAGCCAGACACGTGAACAGAACATTTTTCCAAATATAGTTTTGAAACTGTCATCTATTATAAGATATAATATATTTATAATATTTATAAAAGGGAAAAACAATACTATCCCGTAAAACTGACTATATCAAACGTATTTACATTTTGGCTCGTATTGCGACTATTTTCGAGTTAATTAAAATTAGTTTCATCCGTTTACTGCGGATTGACGTCTACAGTTTGGGCTCAGATTTCGTCGAGCTAAATGGTGCGGGAAGGGGTTAAAAGTGTCCCACCCTTTTGATGCACTGTGATGCATTAAATACATTTTTAGTGCCACCTCGAAATATTGCAATAACTGCATGCACATAGACCTATATTTCGTCTGTATATTTACGTAAAACAGTTGGTAATACCTTCAACAAATGTTATAAATATATTCCCTTGTATTAGCAACATTCAATAATATTTTTTCCCTGGTTTTATGTGAAAAATCATAAAAGTAAGTTAATTTTTATAAAAATTAGTTCTACACCAATTCTGTTTCATTTAAAACGTAATAAAATTTCTATCCAACATGGGTCTATTTTATTATCCGAAATCCAGTGCCGCAAAGAGTTAACAGTAGATTATTGTCGTATTTTTATACATCTATGGTATCCTTCGATATTTTACAAATTCCGTATTTGCAACCAGACATCCCCAAAATTTTACCTACACATTCGTGTTTACCTAAATCGCGGTATTATTTTCGAAATTTCATTCTACCCCATATATCCGGTTGAATAAAAATTCTACATTCAATCCGTGAAACGTGCAGCTGCAAAACTAAATTTATGCAATCGAATCGGCGAACATTTAAATCTCGTTAAACCAACTTGGCATCCATACGATCCCGTGGCAAACACGGGCAATATCGCTCTTAAAATTCGGCGCATCTAACCGAATCGATGCAACCCACTTCTGAAATGACTAAATCCCAATCACGAACAGAAGCAGCGGAACGAAAATCATTAGCAGCTAGCCCTTAACCATTTGTGGTGGCAAGAAATTCTCACAGACGCGTGTGCCAGAACGATGCAGTGTTTCTGTAACAATTGCCTAACGACGTGTATACCACGTCGTTGGCGATTCTGTGACAAAAGCATTACGACGTGCGTGACACGTCTTTCCAGCGCAAGTGGTTAAACGAAATGAAAGTGCATTGAACCAGAGTCATCGTCTACAGCGCTATCCAAAGAGTGGGAATACGGCTACATCAAGAGAAGGAGCCAAGAAAGCCGAAAATGCGAAAAAATCGGACGCAACTCGGGGATCAGAAACGAGCCGCCAGCTGGACTTGGACTGAGGATCGTAAATCAGGCATCCTTCGCACCTCCACGCTATCCTACGTCCCTCCGCCATTCCTGTTTCACCTCTAAAGTGGTTGCATTTCCTGATTTCGCCAACGACCGGACCAGTCCAGACCAGGCGCGTCCACCGTCGTCTCTGTACGCGCGTATGAATATTAAAGTCGCCGTGTGACGCGTTGCCCGATGGGCTTATTGAAATTTATCGCATTAGTTCTTCGCCGCTTTCGATAAATATGCAATAAACGACCGGCCAGACGGATAAATGGAAAATCTATGCAAATTCATTTAAATCGGACGCGACACTCGGCCCGTGAGCTGAAGAGAAACAGGCAGAGCCAGAGGAGCCGGGGCCGAGGGAGAGGGTGAAAAGCGGGTAGTCGAAGGGAAGCGGCCGCCGATTTGCTTTTTATCCCCCAGTGTCGAGCAGTCTTTTTGCCCGGGGACGATAGAGAGACACTTCGGGACAAATCGTCTCGATTCCGGGATTCGGAGGCTGTTTTGTTCGGGCCCGATGGAATCGTCTGACGATCTTCTGGCTACCGGAATCGGCCAACGAGGAATCTTCGGTCTCGGGTGATCGAGTGGCTTCCCGACCAGGGGTTACCGCTCTTTTCAGGATTTTCCAGAAACCTTTACGCGGGTAATGAAAGTTGCCATCGGAGGATGGAGATATTCCGTCGAAATTGCGTTATGAGGCGAGGAGTGGCTGCGAGATGAACTGCAAGTGCGAACAAACGAAGTTTCGAGAAGAAGTATGATATTTTCTGATTGTGGAATAAACGTCACTTATCGAGAATATGTAACGAAATTTCTTTATTACAGGGATTATATCTATTTATACGACTTTGCGATGTTTGCTTGAACATTTTGAAACTTTGTTGGTTAATAACAAAATGATTCCTAGAATGGTTTATTACCGAAATGCATTATTACTTAGAAGTTGACAAGGGTTGTTCCTAATATGGATATTTCATGTGATGTCATAAATTCACTAAATGAAATTTTGCAAGACTACATTCTCTTATACGATGTTTTGAGTTCAATGATGAATTTGGTTAGCTTCTGTTAGTTAATAACAAAATTATTCTTAGGATGATTTACTACCGAAATACATTGTTACTTAGAAATTGACGAGGGTTGTTCCTGATATGGGTATTTCATGTGATATCATAAATTCACTAAATAAAATTTTGGAAGGCTAAGTTCTCTTATGCGATATTTTGAGTTCAATGATGAATTTGGTTAGGTTCTGTTAGTTAATAACAAAATGATTATTAGGATGGTTTGCTACTGAAATGCGTTGTTACTTAAAAATTGACAAAGATTGTTCCTGATATGGATATTTCATGTGATGTAATAAATTCATTAAATAAAATTTTGGAAGACTATGTTCTCTTATGCGATATTTTGAGTTCAATGATGGATTTGCTTAGGTTCTGTTGGTTAATAACGAAATGATTCCTAGGTTGATTTACTACTGAAATGCGTTGTTACTTAAAAATTGACAAGGATTGTTCCTGATATGGATATTTCATGTGATGTCATAAATTTGCTATATGAAATTTGGAAAGACTGTCTTCTTATGCGATATTTTGAGTTCAGTGATGGATTTGCTTACGTT